CCTCTTTTGAAATCCTTAAGGTCTTAGTCTCTGCCTTTTGAGCCCTGATTTGCACAAACACCCCATAAACTGCTTTGATCAGGAGGAAAAGCCAGCATTTGGAACCTATGTGGCTGGGCACTGCCCTGAGTCCACCTGGGAGAGGAAGCCAGTTTAATGCAGTGCTGTTTTCTGAGAGAATGGAAACAGGCTAATTTGGGGAGGACATGGCAGCTGCTGACACCCAGCCCCGGGGAAGCCACTCCCACCTTCACTGGTCCTGGCTCTGCCTGCCTGAGCTATATATTCTTGTGCCAATTCCAGGTTACTGATCCCTTCTGCCAGTACAGGACACTGGGTCTCGCCAACAGGAGTGGTGTACCAGCTTCGTGCCAAAGAGAGCATCAAAAGGCAGAGAAAGTGGGGGTGCCGAGACTGTAGGGGGTGCATTTTTCCATTGCCCTCCTGAGCTATCCCTCCTTTTTCTCCCTCCCCACTTCCTCTCCCTCTTCCTCCAAAAAACTCTTTATATGTGAAAATAATATTTGAAGGGGCCATTGACATCCTCTTTCTAGTTAAGCTATTTACATGTCTTTAGAATCACAAATCCCTTTTGGAATTGAACAAAAACAGCGGTACCCTTTCACCATTGGAAATGCATACACCACATTTTCCCCTAGATCCCAATTCACCATGAAGCTTCCAGTGGACTGAGAATTTCTGATCATAGGCTGAAAGTATCGCTCAGTGGTACAGTGTTGTTCTAGTGTGTGTATGGCCCTGAGTTTGATCCCCAGCCCAGCACTGAAAAAAGAAAAGAAGTCCAAACTAGGCCAACTACTTTATTATAGATGAAGATATCAAGGCCCAGAGAGAGCAAAGGGCTCACATATGGCCATGTAACAAATCAGCAGCAGAAGCTCCCACCTCTCTAGGCTTTCTACCCCCCACCCTCCCCAAAGGTGACCTTTCTTCCATGGTCCCCTTCTGATCCGTCTTCGCCCGAGTCCTAGAGCAGGCAGGAGTACAGTGTGTGCTCGGTAATGTTGTGCAGAGGATCAGGTTCTTCCCTGTGGGGCCAGGGCAGATTGGCTTGGTTCCAGAGACATGTGAGGGGTCTGGGCTGGGGCTTGTTTTGGCTTGTCCCAGGCTGTTCCTGTGAAGTTTTGGATCTCCAGTATGTCGCCAGAGGAAGGCATAAGAGAAGTGTCCTCAGGATACAAAGCAGGGGACCTGAAGCATGCCCAGCCTTCTTCCAACTGCCAGCATGATTTGTAGTTTTCAACACCTCCTTCAGCCACCTCTGTTCCTCCTCTGTTCTATAACCCACCTTGGTTCCCTAGTGCTTAGCATTGTATTCGGACTCCTCTCCCTGGTGTCTCCTTTGTATAGAATAAACTAGGTTTGTCAAGGGGACCATTGCTTTTGCCCTTTGTAGGTGTGTGAGTGTGAGTTAGTGGGGAGGTGGGAAGGACTCTCAAGGCCTTTCTGCCTGCCTGAGGATTGGGGTGGGACTTTGTTCTGCCTCACCAGCCATCTCTGCCCCAGGACTGCAGTGCAATGCCTCGGTGGACCTCATCGGCACCTGCTGGCCCCAGAGCCCTGCAGGACAGTTGGTGGTTCGGCCCTGCCCTGCCTTTTTCTACGGTGTCCGCTACAACACCACAAGTAAGGGGAAAGGTAGAGGGTGGGAAGCAGGTGGGATGGGGAGAGTTCATAGGTGGGGGCTGAAACAAGAGGTTAAGGATAACAATAACATCGATACCTATCGTCGTCGGTTCGGCCACTGTTAGCCAAAGACCAGCTCTGTGCTCATTCCTGCTGATTCCCACAATGCTCTGGAAGACTGACCCTGTCACCTGCTATATAACTGAGCCTCTAAGGCTCAAAAAGGTTAGGAAACTTGCCCAAGGCACCAGCTGGTAAGGGATGAAACCGGAGGAAAGTTTGGCACTTTCTTCTATAGTTGACAAACTTTGAGTTGCTCTGTTTGAACCTATAATGACCCCATGAGGTAGGGCAGGAATTCTCAGAACAGCCCCAATACGAGGTACTGAGTCCTGCCCAGGGCTTTCCAGCCAGGAGTGGGTATGCAGAGTTTTAGATCTATGGCTGGGGATTGACTTGCATCCAGGACCACGGGGTGGGGTGGGGGTGAGGCTGGGGAGGGGCAGGACTGACCCAGCACTGTGCAGACACTTGATCTCCATGTAAACACCTCGCTCCTGGGGCCCTGAGCCTTCATGTCAGGCTTTGCAGCTCCATGCTACCACACCTGCTGCCCTCAGAATTAATTTGCTGTCTCCTGCCAATGACTCAGGTCCCTGCTTATCAAGAGAGTAACAGATTCAGGCCAGGGGCCATAACCCACCAAGGGAAGGTGGAGCTGAGGTCCCTTGTAGGCCCTGGCGTGCAATGGGCTTGAGCCCAGAGCCCCAAGAGGATGCCAACAGGATCACAGATACCAGATGGTCCACTCAAGACTCCCTGTGTTCCAAGACTCACTCCCAGCATGATCTAAGGACATATTCTCTTCTTGTGGCCCTCCAGCGCCTCATCTGAGGATCCAAAGGGCTGAGTGACCTGATGTCTAAGTCTTCTTCCAGCTCAAACCTTCCAAAGTCGTTCCATCTCTTCTCGCTTTACCAGACAGATTAAAGAGGTTATGGTTGGGGGCTGCCGTCAAGGAGAGTGGTAGGGCCCAGGCAGGTGACTATAGCCCTCCCCTGGAAGGCTGGCTCAAGCAGCTTCAAGTCGGTCCCAGTGGTGGGAGGGACCAGGAAGAAGGAGAAAAAAGGCTAAGAGGAATGTGGGAGAGTTCGGAGTGCACAGTCATGCAGCCTCTGATTCCCTGGGGCTCATTTTACAAAGGAAATAAATGCACAGAGAAGTTAATAACCTGTTAAAGGTCACAGGGCTTGGAGGCAGAGCCAGAACCTGGAGAGCCAAGGGTCACTTTCCACATCTCAAATAATCGTCGCCAGGTCATAGAGCCTGGACAGGTGCTACTAAACCTGCCTAGCTGGCATTCAAGGGAAACCAGAAGTCCTGGGTTCTAGCTCAGTAACATTTGTCCTGGGCTTTAGTTTCTTCCCTTGCAGGATAGGTGGGTGCCTTCTAGGCTCTCTTACTCTTCCTTTTTGGCTCTCGGGAAAGAAGCTGGAGTGCTGGTCCCTTGACATGGGATCAGTATTTCAGGTAGGCTAGAGGACCCCGCTGCAGGGGCCCCTGTGCCATATAACCAGGGATGCCCCACCAGTGCCATGGTTGGGGGCAGGAACCAGAGCCGTACCTAATCATTAGGCACTAATTAATTCATTTACTGATGAGGTGTTGCCAGGATTTCTAGGCTTCTCCTTAATGTCCTCTCTCCTGCTGCATCAGATCTTCAAAAGGAAGGGAAACATTTCCAAAAATATCCATTTTCCCATGGTTCTTTGGGAAGACTGCTCAGCTCAGCAATTAAAGACAAGGAGGTCGAATCCTCCCTGGCAACAACTCCCAGAGTTGGACCTGTTTTCCCTCAGGACCTCTTCCCTCCACTCAAATCCTTCTGCCTGGGATGGCTGGGCTTGGGAAGGTGCTCAAGGTGTCCCACCCTATCTGTGGGGTGCCAAAGGGAGTTGTTGAGCGGAGGGGGCTCTTCCATAATCTCCACCTGCACCCCTTTAGGTAGGGACAAGTGACGTGTTCTGCATGTTATGTAAGGTTATGTAAATACAGCTCAAAGACAATAATAGTAAACATAATGTCTAACACCATATGCCAGATACAGTTCTAAGCACTGTACACATGTTGACTAAAACTACTGAATCGGTAAAGTAGGTGTCTTTATTAAGATCCTCTGGCTTACCGATAAGGAAGTTGAGAGATTAAGAGACTTGCCCAAGGTCACATAGCTAGGGTGGGATTTGAGGCTAGGCTGTATGGTTTGGGGATCCTGCTCTTAATGCTGCTCTGTGCTGCTTCTCTTAAGGTAGGAACCGCACACAGACTCCACTATACCTTTGACCTTTCCTACCAGATGTCTGCTGCAAGTCCCTTTTTTCATAGATATTCCTGGTGGCCCAAGGCACTTTTATTTGGGTAGGGCACACTTAGTCCCCACTTAGCCATTAGGAGAGCAGCAGCCTTATAGCCAAATTGGCCCAGAGTTCGGCTTTGTCCAGGACTCGGGGCTGCATTGGGAGGCTTTGCAGAGCTTTTAGTCCAGGAGCCCAGCTCCCTCACCCCTCAGCAGCTTGTTGTAGCCAGAGCCGCTTTGGTTAGAGTGGAGGCTGCAACCTTTCAGCTCTGGAGGCAGCATCAATTCCCCTGGCTCCTCACCCAGCATCTGGTCCTGATACTGCCAGTGGAGAGGCAGCTCCCATGCTGATGATCTCTTCCCTGACAGATTGCAGGACCCTAGTGCCCAAGGGGAGTCAGCAGGAAGGCAGGGTGAGAGAGACCATTTAGAAAGCTCTGCCAATCCCAGAGCCCCAGATCCAGACAATGCTGCCCACGGGGCCTCTCCCCATCTCCTTAAAAAGTGATAGGTTTCTGGCCGGGGATTTAGCTCAGCAGCACAGCGCCTGCCTGGCAAGCATGAGGTCCTGAGTTTGATCCCCCGTACCAAAGAAGAAGTGATAGGGCTTCAGCTGCAGGCCAGGCTGACGGCTACACAGACCCCCATCCTCAGGCCGCTACCCTCCCTGCCTTCCTCCCCAAGTGTGATGGACCAAGCCAGGAGCAGTTGTAGCAGGTCCTAGAGTGAGACACTAGCCAAGTGACGTCCCCTAATAGCACACTCTTGTCCTGTGAGCCCCTCCCTGCAGGAAGCACTGCCACATGAAGGCTGCCCATGGACACCTCCGCCATGGGTAGCCCTGTGAGAAACACTGTCATTTCAACCATCCACTAGAGCTGTCTCCACAAACTCTTCCCCCAGGTCCAGGTCCTCACACCAGCTATGTGAGCATGGGCTCATGAGATCTCACTCCTTTTAGCTGTCACGCAGGACTCAAAACAGGAGCATCTCAGAAGAGTGCCTACCATGAAATACGCCACCACGGAAGGCACGCAGGGAGGCAGCCCAGGCAGCCCAGGCAGCCTGACCACACCCAGTCCAATGGCGTGATCATGCCGGCATGGGTGGATAGCGTTCTGCCCCACCCCCAGTGAGTGCTAGGGCAGCTGCTATAGCCCTGTGGAAGCACTAGTGGGTGAAAGGGGCAGGAAATGGGGGTGATGAGCCCTTCTCCCAGCTTCCTTCTAGGGCCCCAGCCAGCAGGCCTATACCAGCCTAGATGGGTGGATGTGTGAGTGGGTGGGTAAATGGGTGGATGGGAGGGTGGGTGGATGGATGGATGGATGGGTGGATGGATGGGTGGGTGGATGGATGGATGGATGGATGGGTGGATGGG